TGGTGGACAAACTTATTAGAACGTTACTGGACGCTGTATTAGAACGCTGTTTTTAATGTTTTAAAAGAAGTATCTTCTGCTCACCAATGCTTAATTTATTTGATCCAAAATACATCAAAAACAGTGATATTGTGAACTATTTTTACAATTTAAAATAACTGTTTTCTATTTTAATAGATTTTAAGATGTAATGTGTTCCTGTGATCAAAGGTGCATCTATTTCAGCATCATTGCTCACATAATCCTTCAAAACTTCATCCTAATAATGCGAATTTGCTACTCAAGAAACATTTATTGTACTATCATCTATGTTGAAAGCAGTTAGGTACAATTTCTTTTCAGGATTCTTTGATTCTTCATGCATTCTTTTACAGCATACATGTCTATACTTTCACTTTTGATCAACTTAATGCATCCTTGCTGAATAAATAAAGAAAAGATTTTTTTCTTACTGTTGCTGACCCCAAACTTTTGAACGGTAGTGATAACGTTACAAAAGCTTTCTATTTCAGATAAATGCTGTTCTTTTGAACTTCCTATTTCCATTTATCAAATAATTCTGAAAAAAAAAGTACGCATTATATATCCACATCAATTGAATTGGCTCTATCACTCACTCTCCTCTCCACATACAGCTGTTGTGTGGCCATTGTACAGTGGCAGCTGGCATCATCCAAGTGGATGCTGCACACTGGTGGTGGTTGAGGAGAGATTCCCCGATACAATTGTAAAGCGCTTTGGGCATATTAGGCATACATGCCTAATTTTTCAATCTCACAACTGTTTTCAACATTGATAATAATAATAGATGTTTCTTGAGCATCAAATCATCATATTAGAATGATTTCTGACAGATCATGTGATGTCAAGACTGGTGAAATGATGCTGAAAATTCAGCTTTGACAACATAGAAATAAATTGCATTTTTAAATACATTCAAATAGAAAATTGTTATTTTAAATTGTAAAAATATTTCACAATATTGCTGTTTTAGCTGTATTTTGAATCGAATAAATGAAGCCTGAGTGAGCAGAAGGAACTTCTTTTAAAACTTTAAAAAATCTTACCATTCTAATAATTATATATCAAATTTCATATAAAACAAAGGTTTTATGATTTACCATCTATTAAATGCAACTTCAGATTAAAAACATCTTTATTAAGTCAATAAAGCGCATTATGAATATAAGGCACTTCATCCAATGCTGATTAGTAAAGTGTTGTTTAAATAAACAATTAGCTAAAATGCTGTAATTTAAAACTGCAGAACTATAAAAATGTGTTAATTTTTATACATATATCAATATACAATCATGAAATACAAAAACATCTTGTAAATATTATGTAATATAATTTTAAGAAAGGACTTATTTGACAAAAGTGCAAAAGATTTTGAAAATAAACTACTGCAACATAGTGCTCTGATTTTAGTGAGAGAATCCAAGGCACTATTTGGTATCTTTATCTTTTGGGATTATTTGGCTTAGCACACCTCATTTTGCCATTTCATAAAACATAAACATATGTTAATGAAGTTGAGGAATACAATAATAAACAATGAAGTACCACAGTGTACAGAACATAATGTTTGGATGTGAAAGGGAAACACTTAATCATGAATCTCTGTGATCTTGTCAATGGAGGTCAATAACTGGGATGCAAAATAGAGTGTCTCTCTTCCTGTCAGCAACTGCCTGTAAACATACACAACACTTTCAGTGCAACGATTGGATTCATTCACATTTCTGACCATTATTAATAGAGAAAAACTCTAACGTAATTGTCATTGTTAACCATACTTGATAGAAGTCTCGGCATCTTGAGCTGCTTTGTTAAGGTACTCAGAGGCTACTTGTGCATTGTGTCTCATTGTGGTTAAGGCTGTAGTTTCTCCATTTCTAAGCCTTTCATTTTCACTTTTATATCCTTCAACCTGGCCCTGATAAGAAAACGATAAAATAAACATAAAGGTGGAGTTTTAATTTGAGCAAAAACATGAGTGAAATAGTCATTTTGAACACAAATGCACACAAAGTTCACAAACATATTTTATAGTAGTATAGTCGTATATACACATATAAATGCACCATTATGTACATGGTGTGCTTTTTCAGTGTGCTTTTGCATAAAGAAAGAAGTCAAACCTGAAGTTGGTTTAGATCTTGTTTCAATTTTGAAATAGTATTTTCAGCCTTGACAGCCCGCTTCTGTATTAGATAACAGAATTTAATTTCTCGAGTGCAGTAAGGATAAAACATCTTCATCTTATTTTTTTAAACCTTAATAAAAAAAATCTGTCATATGAATGACAATGCTTTATACCGTCATTAACTGAAGGTTTTGTTCTACTGACTGCACCATCGTCTCCAAAGCCTTAGCCTCTCTCTCCTCCTGTAACTTCTTGTCGTGCAACTCATCTGTGAGTTGTTCGATCCTATTACAAATTGGAAAGTTTAAAAATAAGGAATGTCTACAGAACTATAGAAGCACTACACAGCAGCAATACTGACACACTTCAGTCCATTAATTACCTCAGAGTTATTGTAATTACTTTGCATAAATACATTACATTCTGTGTAAAGAGCCTTACCTTCTGGAGTCAGTTTCTGATCTTCTAAGGAGTTCTTTGATTTGCTTTCGGAGTAAAGAATTTTCTTCTCTGAGCTAAAACACATTAAAGTCTAAGTTAAATCATAATGGACAATGGAACAATGCCATCTCTTTTTTACTCTGATGATAAGTTTACTGCTGTGAGGGTGGGACAACCTGTCACTCACATGAAATCGACCAATAGCAAACCACAACGAGCCAATCAATTCCAGATGGACAAAATCAAGTCCTGTACGTACGTACTACAGCTTTTCTTGTTCGAGAAGCCGTTTAATTCAAATGTACATCACAATAAGGAAGAAAAGACTTTTATTTTGAAAAGAAGCACCAATTATAATATAACAAACATTCAACTCAAGTCATGTGTATGCAGAAACTCACACGATGTACACAACATACCTGTTGAGCATTCTTTGTGCCGATTTCAGCCTTGTTCCTCTTCGAATGGAAAGAAATATCAATCACTGAAGTCTCTTCATCCCCCTCATAGCTTCCTGTGCTTCTTCTTCCTAAGTGGTTCTTTGGCAGGAAGTCAGATTGACCCAGCTCCCATTCAGTCTCATTTGCTTCCCTCTCATCACTGCACAGAGACGATTGCTCAGAGTAAGCGCTGTGATCTGAAGTCCCACATAGCTGGAAGTCATGAGAACCTTCAAATGCTGATGGATGGCAGCTTTCAATCCATGTATCCTCACGTTCACTTTCAGAAGGTTGAGAGACCACAGATGGGTCTGTGAAGAAAGACCCCTTGGTAGAAAAATCTATGGAGGTGTTATAGTCCTGCTTGATGTGGCATACACCATCATATACCTTTGGGAAATCAATCATAGCAAAGGACTAATGAAGCAAAATGATGTTTAGAAAGTAAATTTGTCCAGTATTCAAAAAACATAATGGCAATTTTTTAAACATACTTATGGTAGATTGTCTCTGCCCCTTGAATTGTTACATGACGAGTTACATGAACACCTAATACACACTAATACATTCATATACATCTAAAAATGTATAAACTGTCCAAGCAAGGTGACAATGCCTTTGTAATCTCCTTCCTCACCTCCGTGTCTTCTGTAGTATAGGGCTGCTGGTTCTTATTTCTGATAAACTCTTTGAAAGAAAATGGATTCAGGTCGTCTTGCTTTAGCTCATCTGAAAGTAAATTCGTCCATGACATTAAAAATAAAGATTTCAAGAATACTCTGCAACCTTTTCAAGACAGAGAACTTGTGCTGCATTATTATCATGTTGGTTTATAGAAAGAGCAAAAGGCAAGCAGGTTGACACGTACCATCTTCAATGATGAGCTTTTTCGTCTTGTGTTTGGACATGTTAACTTAAATCAACTTGATTAGACGTAAACTGTCCTGCAGACTGTAACTGCTAAATAACTGAGTTCAACATTACAAAAGAAGAAGTATTGAAGAACGTAAAATGCGTTCAAAGTAAACGGTTCCGTGTAATTAATGTCAATGTCGATTCTGTTATAAACCTTAATTCGTTACTGTATTTTAGAATTGACAACACTTATTTCCAGCAGTTCCTCACGGGCCTGCTTCTGTCCGACAGTGAGCGGTTTTTCTACAGGGAACTGGTACAATATCGCCACCCGTTGACGTGGAAGACACGAGTATTGGGTTGGAGATAGGGGTCATGTTTGAAATGCTGACTCGTGGAGACGTGCTGCATATTATTTTGTTATATTAAATATTAAAAACAATAAAAAACGAATAATAACATCGTAATATCCTAATTGTCAACGCATGTACTTGTACTGTAATTGTACAAGGTAACACGATTTGACAAGATTTTGCAAACATGGGTTTGGCCAACATTTTATTCACCTTTAATTTGTGTAAGTATTTATTAAACATTAGAAGAACATTTACTTTACTTACTTTCCATAAATGTATTATTATATTATGTATTTATTTAATAGCGTGTGTCTATCAAATTTTTAATAAATCGCATTTCCGTAAACTTTGTTGTGTAGTAGTGAAGTAATGAAGTTGTAGTAACTTATTAGCCTACTGTTCGAGACGAGTCCAAGTAACCTTACTGTGTAACGTTATTGTTTGCTTACATTGTCACAATGTTTGCTGTAGTAACTTAGTTAAGTTACAATAGTACAGCCCGTTCTTTTCATGTTAGGTTAGATATTGAGGCTGTTTTGAAAGTCTTTTAATTTTAATGGTTTTAAAGAATTACAACAAAAGTCAATCATGTTGTAGTAAAGTACGTTGATTAAACAAAAAAGGACATAAAAAAGAAAAGCTGTTTTAATCATATACATCGGTTTTAACAGTCTGCAGCACAGCACGAAGCGTCTGCATGTATTCGTACTTCCACCAATCACATTCAATAACCTCACTCACGCATGCGCACTGCTGCACCGTACCGATTGCTGTCGCTCTCGCGCATCGATCGCAGGTGTCAACGGAGCAAGAATATTGGTCGCTGCTGCAGCTGCGAGAGTGAGGAACCCTATCTCCCCCATCGGAAAATATTAGTCCTCCTAAGAGGACAGCAGTACATCGGACGGTATGAAAATGTTCGAATGAGACCGTGAGCTCGTGTCTGTTGCCAGGGCAGATTTAAGCGTGGAACAGGGCGGCTTCCCGGACTGTAGACAGCGGGCTCGCGGAGCGTCTTCAGCGGGGAAAGCTGCAGTCTTGCTGCCGCCGCTGCTGCTACAATGTTCGTGCAGGAGGAGAAGATCTTTGCAGGCAAAGTCCTGAAGGTCCACGTCTGTACTATGGAGGGCACCGAGTGGCTGGAGGAAGTCACGGAAGACACCACTATAGAGAAACTCAAAGAAAAATGCTTGAAGCATGTAGGTCTGCCATCGGTTAGCTGGCACTGTTAGCCAACCAGGACAGGACAGGCCCGCTAGATTTTCAGAGTCATTGCCAAGTATTTTTAGTAACTTACAGACGAGTCGACGGTGCTATTTATAATTTAGCAAGCTGGCCCGTCACCTCCGTCTCTGTGGCTGGACTGTAACTACAACTGTCACTCTGGTTGACTAACCGTGTACAGCTGACTTTGACTTGTTGACAACCTCTTTTTGTTCACAATATATCTGTCAAGTACTGTAGTGTACACACATCTGTGCAGATTTATGTAGCTTACCTTTACACATTTTCGTATGTTCTATGAGGATTTGATCTTAAAACTTTATGGTTTGAAGGTTGTGGATGCGTTTTTGTAAGCACTAGCTTTTGGCATTAACCACAGACTGTACTTTTAGCCTAGCCTGGTTCCACCTTCAATGTGTAGTTTGTGCTGAAAAGTACCATGATGTTACCCTGTGAATAATGGCACAATAAGTGTGATGGACCAAGTTGTATGGACACACATAATTACATCATGCCGATAAGTTACCAAGAGTGTTTGTTGAAGTACTTTGGAGTATCATGTAAAAAGCAGGATACATTAATTATTCAGTACCAAGGTGTGTACCATGGTAACCATTTACATTAACTGTATCATGTTAGTACAGTACTGGACCACCCTGTAAGAGTGGTGGTATGGATTTGGGATGGGGGGCAGGGTCACATGCAAATATTTATGGTGTAAATGTACACTACAATTCAAAACTTTGTTTTGAAAGAAGTCTCTTCTCTTATGCTCCACAAGGCTGCATTTATTTGATGAAGTAATATTGTGAAATATTATTATTACAGTTTAAAATAACTGTTTTCTATTTTAGTTGAGTAAGTTTAGGTTAGTAAATAATTTATTTTATTCCTGGGATAAATTTTCAGCATCATTACTCCAGTTCTCAGTGTCAAATGATCCATCAGAAATCATTCTAATATTCTCATTTGCTGCTCAAGAAACATTTCTTATTGTCTTCAATGTTAAAAACAGTTGCTGCTCAATGTTATTGTGGTAACTGATTTCTTTCAGGATTCTTTGATGAATAGAAAGTTCAAAAGAACAGTTTTTTGTAACATCATAAATGCCTTGCTGCCACTTTTGATCAATTTAATGCATCCTTGCTGAGAAAAAGTAATAATTTCTTTTTCAAAGGTCTTACTGACCCAAAAACTAAATGGTAGTGTACATATTATATTGTTAGGATTAAACCAAAATATTATGTCCTTTAAAATAATTTGTTTTAGGCTCTGCAGAACGCAAAGTATTTAAGTCTTAAAATCTATATTTTTGTCTCCTACAGTATGTCCACGGAAGTCTAGAGGATCCTAAAACTCTTACACATCACAAACTCATTCATGCTGCCACTGAGAGAATTCTCACCGAATCCAAAACAGTTGCTGATGAAAATCTTAAAGATAAAGGTAATGAACTATTATGGTGCATCTAGAAAGGTGATTCTTAACCTTTTTGACTTCAAGTCCCTCATTGTCCACAACTATATTCAATGTGTAAGGACTTGAAAGTATGATTTTTGTAAACATATATTTCTTACAAAAAGCCTGTAGAATTGTATTAGGTTTTACATGACTTTTCCAGGTCTAGAAAACACACATTTAAAACAAGACTACCTCATATATCCACATTTTTGAAGACAATGGGAATTAAAATAAGAATCAATTTAGATTTTAGATTTCTTATTTATTGCTTGTTTTGTCTTATTTTAAATCAGTTTAATATCATCTTTAGATCAGACCACTGTAGTGATAATAGTAAATTATGCATAATTTCAAGCAACTAATGTAAAACTTAACCGTAACTCTATAGTAAGGACATGCATACATTAATATTACGCAGTACTTTTTTGAGTAAGTACAATATAACTATGTCACCTTAAAACAAAAAAAATTTTTTTTTTATTGTTTGTTTTCTAGATTGCTTATTATTGATAAAGAAGAGGCCTCCACTGGCTCCACCAAAAATGGCTGACATATCTTCTGAAGAGAAGGTATCTGGTGACAGTTTTCATTTTTGGATGAACTATTCTTAATCCATCCCGTTCTTTTACACTTCTAAGATTTGTGATTGCAAAATAAACCAGTTTTTGTGCTTGTTGACAGAAAAAGCAAGAGAACAAAGCACCAGATAAGGAAGCCATCCTCAAAGCCACAGCAAACCTGTCCACTCGTAACACTGACCGTACTGTAACTCAGCACAACATCAGAGATGTGGGTACTTGCAGTCTGTTTGTTTTGACTTATTTGCATTGCACTGCTTATGTTTATAATATATATATATATATATTTTTTTTTTTTCACAATTTCCCCCTCCCGGTCAGTTTCAGACAGAGCTGAGGAAGATTCTGGTCTCGCTTATTGAGGTGGCTCAGAAGCTGTTGGCAATGAATCCAGATGCGGTTGAGCTCTTCAAAAAGGCCAATGGTAAGCTTTTAAAGGGCACCTATTATGGCATTTAAAATGTTCCTAATATTGTTCTGGGAGTCCCCAACAACAGTTTTACATGAATGCAATGACAAACAACACTTTTGTTGTCTTATAATATGCATTTATTTTTACCTGATTTGCTCACCGACTCCCAAATGATTTGTACAACGGCTCATTTTTCCAAACCACTCCTTTGCGTGACACTAATCGGCGGTGATTGGTCAGATGACCCAGTCAGTTATTGTTTGTTAGCCCAACGCATAAACATATTGATAAAGCACTGCAGTACTACAAGGCGCTCTTTTCTTTATGACAACTCCAATAACAACGACAAACATTTCACATGTTTAAAAAAATTGACATTGGAGACCTAGAAGCTTCGCTGAGCGTAACTTAGACACACACACACACACACACACATATTGCGCCTTCCCTCCTCACTATAAAACCCATTAAAGCAACAATTATTAATAATACTTACAGGTTGTGATTCGGAGGAGGAAGCTGATCCATATACACTGGGTACTGAGACCTCCTTCATGAACAACCGGCTTGCAAATCCATATTTGAATTCATTTATGTTTTTGAAGGTTTCGTCATTAAAATGATGAGAACACAATCGGCTATACTGTTGTGGTATCTTTGCAAATATGAACTCTAACTACCGATTCTTCACATCCCTGGGAAATGAATACAAAGTGGCTGAACTATCTTTGCATTGTAGAACACAGCGTCTTCTCGACATGACGCTATTCAGCTGAAGTATTTGAATCATAGATTTGAATGTGTTCACTTCCGTCTGCGCGCGCAGTAACTGGGCGCGGCCAATATGCTTATTTTTCTTATCTACGTCACTATGAAACAGCTAATGACTCGTTTCAAAAACAATTCATTTCATAGACTCAAAGTCGACTCTCACTTTTGAAAGACAATAACTTTATATACGGTGCACTTTCAGATATAAATCTTTGCAGGATGTTTTCATTCCCTTAGAGCTATATTCCACACCATATGAACAGTCATTTTCAAAAATCCATGATAGGAGCTCTTTAAGAAACCTACGAATTGTGACATACTACTCAGCTCACATACTGTTTTTCGCCTGCTATATAGCATGGAAGTAGGCATTTTCAAATGCACCGATAGTATTAAAATGGTAGATGTCTGAAAAGCATGTTACAAGCATGAAAAGCTATGATTTATTTAATGAGTAAATAGATTTATTGATTTAATCCATTCAGGTGTCTATTCCATACATGCATTAAAACAGTTGGCGAAAATTAACCAGATGACCTACTACTTACGGAAAGATTCTGAAGTACACATTTGATGAACACAGTCACTTTACTATCCCATAAGGCCACGGTAGAGGATTTTAAATGGAAGTGAAGGGATGCAACTGGTGCTGTAGGTCACATGACAATGACAACATGGCAGATGTAGTACAACTGAATTTCATTCATACTATATGGAGCATTTTTAACGGTCTTGAAGTAAGTTTCAAACCAACTGTAACAATTTCTGATGCTGCATATAATTTGGACATTCCATACCATGGTATTATTTGATGTACTATAGAGTGACATTGCTGTACCATTTATATATAAATTTGCATGGAGTTGTTAATAACTTAAGTGTTTTTATAATTGTTTTTTTTAATCACTTCATGACCACGGAGGCCATTTTGCAGGAGTAAATTATTTTGCAATCTTATCAAATGATGTCCAGTGAATATTCTTCCTATCTTCCCTCTCTGGCAGCTATGCTGGATGAGGACGATGAGGACCGTGTGGATGAAACGGCCCTGCAGCAGCTGACTGAGATGGGTTTCCCTGAGAGTCGTGCTGTGAAGGCTCTACGCTTAAATCAGTGAGTGCTCTCAGCTGTGGTTGTGAAATACACTACCATTCAAAAGTTTGGGGTTGTATTTTGTAAAGAAGTCTCTTATGCTCACCTAGGCTGCTTTTATTTGATCAAAAATACATTTAAGCAGTAATATTGTGTAATATTTGCTAATTCGTGGCATGTCTTAATTATCGTAGTCTCGAGCTGACAACATGTGATGTTAAATTCGGAGCTGTTCACATACTCTGATTGGCAATTATGCGTTTCTATGGAACCACTATCAATCAACACTAAATAAATCTACAGCAGTCAGGTAGTACAGCGGTCATGTGATACAAGTAGGAGATCTTACAAGCTGTAATTATGAGCTCTAGGAGGATATGAAGTTGAAATTTTGTAATTATGGTAATTAGGACATGGTGTCAAAAAGGGAAACAATAATTTTTTTGTGGAAACCATGATAAATTTTTTTTTCACCAATCCTTGATGACTTGAAAGCTCCAAAGATCTGTATTTAAAATTGAAATAGAACTTTTAGAAACATTATCAATGTCTTTGATGTCACTTTTGAACTTCATAATGTGATATAAAAGCTGAATACAAGTATTCATTTCTTTTCTGAAACACTACTGCATTTATCTTTTTAAATGTAGTGTAAATAATTCATGGATAAGTATGCATAGCATATCTAGCTGGCAGGATAAAGTCACATTGGCCAAAAATGACTTTTTTTTGCCCCATTAAGTGTCATTTAAATTGTTATTCATCAATGTATCCCAGCTCTCAGTGGATTAAATCAGAGTCACTTATAACTAATCCCTCTTTCTGCAGCATGTCTGTGACCCAGGCTATGGAGTGGCTGATTGAGCATGTAGATGACCCCATGGTTGACACGCCTCTCCCGGGACAGGACACGCCAGGGGCAGGGGCCGGAGCCGCTGCAGCCCTATCCCCCGTCCCAGTCCCAGCACCTGCCCCTGGTCTTTCCGCTACAGTTTTTGGAGCCCGTGCCCGTCTTTCGTCCCAGGCCAGCATAGAGGAGGCCAAACAGGACGAACTGACAGAGATCTTTAAAAGGATCAGAAGGAAAAGAGAGTTCAGGCCTGACTCACGGGTGAGTGTCATGAGGGTGTCATGAGAAACAAGAGAAGAATAGTTGCTTTTTAAACCCAAACGTTACTAGTGTCCTGGTGCACTTACATACGTACTATGCCAACAGCCATTTAAGAATTTTAAGCGTCTAGTTCAGGATCTTTGTAAAGCCTGCAGTGATTCACATAAAATGTTGCTGTGGTATAATGTATTGTCTTGTCTGTGTGTTTGTGAGCAGGCAGTGATTGCGCTGATGGAGATGGGATTCAATGAGAAGGAGGTGGTTGACGCCCTCCGTGTCAATAATAATCAACAGGATGCAGCTGTATGTAAACATTCAATGGATCATATAAAATCATGTATATTGTGTTAATTCATGTATATAAGATATTTGTCAATTGAGATACTAACTTCTAACTTAAGATACGAATTAAAATGTAAAACCTCTATTCTCACACAGTGTGAATGGCTGCTAGGTGACAGAAAGCCCACCCCTGAGGATCTGGACAAGGGCATTGATACCAACAGTCCACTTTTTCAGGCCATTTTGGAGAACCCTGTCGTACAGCTTGGTCTCACAAATCCCAAGACTCTTCTAGGTAACGTCTCTCCCTCTATACTAAGGATGTGCCTGAAGCCGAATACCATGTTTGGAAAGGAAATGACACTTCTACTGAGCCCCTAAAGGAACATGGTGATGGGAAAAAAATATACATATTTTAATGGATTGGTGTTTTCTCGCAATTATATAGTTGGGTAATTATATTGTATATAATGTGTGGGCATCAGGGAGAGGCTATCAATATACTGGAAATTGAAATCGCTTTTGAATACACTCGCGCTTTTTTCTTTCACTTTCGAATTCGTGATTACGCGTACTTTGTGCATTGGGAGCGGTGGTACTGACCACACTTTTTACAAGATAAGATATTTGTCAATGGCGCTCAGAATCTGTTGCACACCATATCGCCCAAAATTGTCCTGTCAATTGTCCTTAACCATGTCCTTCTAAGGCTCCGTAGAGTGTGTTGTTTATTTTCTGTGCCTTTTATGAATTTGGATTTAGGCTTCGGGGACATCCCTACTCTATACTCAAATCATCTTCTTCTTTTGAAATGTTTTGGTTGCAATTTATTTTGATGTTTCGCTTTAGACATTCTGTTGACTACAAGTAACGTTGCATCTACATGTCAAACTAACTCTTCGTTTAGAATATTAGTTGAGCATTTGTAGATCGTTAAGGGTAGGGTTAATAGATTAAGGTGTTTTTAGGGTTAGTAGAATAGGTTGACATAAATGCCTATAAGTTGCTTATATTTAGTAGAATGTCAAAATAAGCCGTGTTAGCAGATATTAAGCCATAGATGTAAGGTGTGGCCCCTTTAAGAGCTGTGCGCTGCGCTACTCGTTGAACTGTCGGCGGTATTGTATTGTATGTGCAGTGTGCCTCGAACACCCCTTTTACTTTCTATGCGAACACCCCATTGTATGCAGGTAATTCCTGTTTGATGCTAATTTTTAGCTTATTTTGTTTATTAAGTAACGAGTACACGAGTTCGATTTGGGAATAAAGTGCGAGTTGTGAGATGCCATGCCAATCGCCTCTGTGAGTCTATCTGGCCTCTGCATGCAATAACTTCAGTTGTGTGCTATCCCTATTCTTCCTGAAGCAACCGTTAACTGTAGCCTACTTCATTTTCTTTGCGGGGACATCGCCTTCACCTGCCATCATGTCTATCGGCTCGCTTTCAGGTTGAGATTTCCGCGACTGCGCAACTGGGTAAAAGGGTTGCCAGGTTGAGGTGACAAACAGGTTGAGATTGTAAATGGTCTGTGAATTGTGTGAATATACTGCATTTAATCAAATCTGGCAACTGGTCAACATTAGACAAACATATTGGTTCGATTATTCATAAAGTAGTTTGGGCCATGCAAATTACAGGAGTTTCCCAGGAGAAATAACAAACCGGGAGGGGTCCGGGAGATGGGGCTAAAAAACGGGAGAAACCCGGCAAAAAACGGGAGTGTTGACAGGTATGTATTAAGCAAACAGTCTACTAATACTGTTATGAGAGTTAGACAACAAATAGGTGCAACCTTACAATAGTCAACAGAATGTCTAAAGATGACCATAAAATTAAAGTGTAACTGGGGCCGGTTGCACCAACTGTGCGTAAGTTACAACTTAGCCTAGTTTTGACGTAAATGGGCACTAAGTTACAACTTAAAGGTGCAATGTGTAACAAAGTTGAGTATCTATTAACAGAAATGCAATATGACATCCATAACTATGTTTTCAGTGGTGTATAAAGAACTTACTTAATTAACCGTAATGTTTTTATTACCTTAGAATGAGACATTAATAGCTCCATAACCGCGGGAATCCCCTTCTATGAAGGTCGCCATGTTGTGACGTCATATTCCTACCGTAGCCGAACGCGAACACACAGCGCTACAGAACGCGTTTCATCACTACCTTGAAAGAGAAGTAGCGGAAAGCTAGCCTTACACTCCGTGAGTAGTGACTTTTCCCTTGTGAGTGGTGTAAAATATGTAGTTGGGATTGTTTCATGTAACTTAGTTCTCCCTCGCTGTGTTATGGGTTTGTTATGTTGGGGATAGTGCTGTTACGTTCGTGAGACAGCTGATGATTAGTATTCATGTCATTGACCGTAAAACAGTACGTTACAGGAATCACTAACCCGTCGATAGAGACTTTTACTAAAGTCTTTTATCACTAAATTCGATCGCGAAGATTTTTCAAAATCAGAAAAAAAAGCCTATTGTGTGTAGTAAATAGTATCTATGGGATGCGGAGATGACATGATTGTAACAGCGCGCGCAGTTCCGACCTTTGGACTCATGCGGACGAGTCCCAGCTCAGCCACAGTAACAGCTCATATTAGCCAGCTAAACTATTACTACCCTGTTAGAAAAAATATATAGCTGCTCCCTCGCTGTATTATGGGTTTGCTACAGTATGTGGGGAGAAATGTGCTGCTGGTTACGTTTGTGAGACAATCAGCTGATTAATATTATTTTATTAAATTATATATTAAAACCCTTGATCCTCACCTGACTATGGCTTTGTAAACAGTATTCATGATGTGGTTTATAATGGACTGTGGTACAGAAACAGTGACAATGTTACACACTCTTGGCTTACTCTGGCTATTCTCTGCTGTCTCAGCCGACGAGATGTTTGTCCCGTTTTAGCAACCGTAGCTTCTTCGAAAGGGAGGGGTGAGCAGTGGGCTGAGCCCTTAGTGCAAACCTGGTGCAAACTCGCAACCGAACCACTAGATGTCGCTAAAAATCACACATTGCTCCTTTAAAGGGCATAATGCAGGTTAGAGGACCCAACGAGTCAATGCATAGAAAAACAATGTAGGAACTAGATTTTCTTTAAAATATACTTATAAATACGCTACAGAAGCTTCTGGAGTCGTTTTTGTGAGAAATGTTTACTTCCGCGTCTGAAAATGGGCATGGCGGGCGTGACGCAATGAGCGGGAGAGCGGCCGATTCACTCAACAGGAAAACAATGGATCGCAATGACATTTCGGACGCTGAGGAAATACTCGTATGACGGATCAAGCCATAAAGTTATGAGCCTGCTATGCTAAAGAGAGCTGGACAGGCCAGGATAATGTTAGACAGAATGGTCAGAGACAAAGTTGTAGTGTGAGGAGAACCAGTGGAGAACAGGACAGGTGTCTTCTGGTGAGAGACGTGCTTATAGATATACACGCTCGCTAACGATATACACTGTGCTCACAATACTGTATAGATTATTATGATCCTATAACAGGCCAGCAGACATTATGTTTAGGGTAGGTTTATACTATTAAATGTATAAAAACTTTACTAGAGTATTTCTATTGTACTAAAAGCACTAATGTTAAAATTTGAATCCATATTTTTCACCTGGGTTAAAACATAAACAGAAAATTAAAGATTTGAGTATTTAAACTCAATTACAAGTTGCCTCTGTTTAGGGCATGACATGACTAAGTTACCTATATATCACACTATTTGATGCCATTGGTATAGTATATGACGATCAATGTTCTTGCTTCGGCATCTCATGTTGATCGCCAGGATGATAATCATTTGATCTGAAGTAAACGCTACACACGACCGCGTTTTCCGAAGCCGATGCGGAAGAGAAATCCCGTCTCTTCACCTGCTCAAACCGCACCAGGAAAGAAAGATATAGGCTATAGCACCGTCCCTTTTCTTGTAATGGAAACTTGTGGACTCGACCTTGAAGTCCTGACAGGCCTGAGTTTATGCAACCTCCACAAACACAATAATTTACCATGACGATGATAAATTAAAATACAAAAAGTACCGAAAGCACACTGACAGACGACCGCGCTCACTGAATACCAGCCTACTCTGCACTGAGCCGAGGCTGCGGCTCCCTGATATTACGTCAAATGACACGATGTTGAAAAAAAAAGCCGTTTTTACTAGCAGTCCAAGAAACGCTCACTTTATCTACTAAATTAGTGCCCGTATGTTGTTTTAAAACATTTAAAATCCTGCATTAACTTTTCATATGTTATTTTCATACAAGGTTATCTATTAATTTAGATTTTTTTTTTTTACCTGCAATATGCTCTTTAATACGCTCTACTAAATATTTTTCCGTTGCACCATTAAACTTAGTTTAAACGTAACTCAACGTTCCAACTAAATATTTACGGCAGCCTCCGATCAGGAGTAATGGTTGGAATAAAATATCAGATCGATGAACTGCATCATAAGCTCTTCTTTTACCTGACAGACTTCAATTCTTTACACACATATGACAATGCTGACATTTACACTCACTTACATTTTAAGAGAGAGAACATTATGTGAAAAGATTACTTTGTTAGCACGGACCCTTCCTAAACAGCCCCGCTGTGTGCATTGGTACATGTTGTGCATGTCAAATAATCAATAAACAAGTTACATAATTTCTTGTTTTTTTAATCAATATTATTCATTGCTGCTTATTAATTTCATTTCAAATACAGTTTCTGAATGTTATTCATATATAAAAACACTTATGTTACTCATGATCAAGTATCTTATTGAATGGAAACTTATTTTTACCGTTAGTAACGTGAGGCAAAAGAAGTTAGAATGAAGGAGAAACTGAAATTCACGGCATTTCCACACAACTTCTGCTCACGCATTTGAAGGCTGCTATAGGTTCATCGAGGCTAAACGTCATATTATGCGACTACGCATTACTTTACGGAGAGATTACGACTTACTAGCTACGTTCTACCTTACGAACAAATGGTGCAACGGAATAAAGTAAAGAGTTAGTTACAAACTAGCTAGTAGTTACTAAGCCTCTGGTGTGGACTTTACGTTACAATTTAAGAAAGAACTTACGAACGGCTGGTGCAACCCTACCCTGTTGTTTAATTTATAAAGATTTGCCTCAACATGTCAATTCAATGAAGAGTGTCTATGAACAATTTTATTGTTGATTCATATTTTACCCCTTCAAACTATTTTTTTTCTAGTTTCTTCAGTGTACTTTACTGTTGAAAAACAAAGATGTTTCTGGATGATCAAAACATATAATTTCAAGGTTTTCTAGTCTTTATTTGGCTCCATCCATTTTAGTCATTTACTGTATGACATCCAGTTTTCCAGTTTCTACATCTGAAAGGTAACCCCAGACCATTGTGCCTGATGGCAAGATGATGTTATCTGGGTGTTGGGCTCTCTGTGGTTTGTGGTAAACATAGTGCTTTGCTTTTAAGCCAGAGTGCTCAAGTTTCACTTCATCAGACCAAAGCAGTTACTTCCAAAGCCTTTCAGAATTTGTCACATGGCTTTCACAATCTCCAGAATTATGTTGGAGTTGCTCAAAAGTGGCTTCCTTTCTAGCCACTCACACAAAGAGGAATTGATCTTTGAAATGCTGAAAACATGGCTGATGTCTGCACAAAAAAGTTCAATTTAAGGCCAAAAGCTCTGCAAGTGACCTCTTGGTCCCTTCTCTTTCAGTTCTGTCTGGTTGCTCCACTTACTAAGCTGCCTTGAAGATAACGTATAATATTTCTATAAAGACACACTAGATAAGTGTACAGTGCATTCTCTTACAGTATAACCTTACACCAGCACCACAAGAATTAATTTACTTTCACTTTTAACATGTTGTCTTCATTAATATGATAATTTGTTCTTTTGCATTGCCTATTACTATATTATTATTTGTTCAGTTATTCATACAACCTCTGATGCACTGATTGTGAACTAAAATAACATGCACACTTAGTGCACTAAACAGTATCTGCTTGTTTTTGTACACTATAATGCAGTTTAATGTGTTCTGAAAGTACAGCAAAAAGGTTTGGCTTGGACTTCAGCTGTGCCAGGATGCATTTCTGTGTGCAGTTTGCATTTTCTCCCCATGTTATAAGTGGGTTTCCTCAATGTGGAAGGAGTTGTATACTTTTAAAAAACACTTTTGCGGATAATTTACTCACCCCCATGTCATCCAAGATTTCCATGTCTTTCTTTCTTCAGTCGAAAAGAAATTAAGGTTTTTAATAAAAACATTCCATGATTTTTCTCCATATAATGGACTTCATAAATTATTATTTTCATGTTGAAAACAGTCGTGTACCATTTTTTTCGATGAATAGAAAGTTCAAAAGAACAGCATTTATTTAAAATATAATCTTTTCTAACATTATAAATGTCTTTACTGTAACTTTTGATCAATTTAACTCATAAACGTATTTTCTAATTTCTTTCCCCCAAAAATAAAAAAAGAATTTTTACTGACCCCCAACTTTTGAATGGTAGTGATTAATGTTACAAAAGCTTTCCGTTTCAGATCAATTCTGTTCTTATTGAACTTTCTATTCATCAAAGAATCCTGAAATAAAAATGTAAAAAAACTGTTTTCAACATGGATAATAATCATAAATGTTTCTTGAGCATCATATTATAATAATTTCTGTAGGATCATGTGACACTGAAGACTGGAGTAATGATGCTGTAATAAATTACACTTCACTATATATTCACATAGAAAACCGCTGTTTTAAATTGTAGTAATATTTCACAATATTACTGTTGTTTTGTATTTTTTATCTAATAATTGCAGCCTTGGTGAGCAGAAGAGGCTTCTTTTAAAGGGTTAGTTCACCCAAAAATGAAAATTATGTCATTAATTACTCACCCCCATGCTGTACCAACCCCGTAAGACCTTCGTTCGTCTTCGGAACACAAATGAAGATATTTTTGATTAAATTTGAGAGCTGTCTATCTATCTATCTATCTATCTATCTATCTATCTATCTATCTATCTATCTATCTATCTATCTATCTATCTATCTATCTATCTATCTATCTATCTATCTATCTATCTATCTATCTATCTATCTATCTATCTATCTATCTATCTATCTATCTATCTATCTATATGTATATAATTGTGATTTAATTAAAGTGCCTCTGGATAAAGTAAAGAGACAAACTCTCTCATTTATAGCATTTAGTTATTTTGTAATAAATGTAGTGTTGCTTTCATGTGATTATACTTTTTGCTTTGAAGTCCAAGACCATTGTTGAATCATTTAGAAAAACAAGGATGTGGCTGAGGCATGTTTTTCTTGGCTTTGCAGCGTTTGAGGACATGCTGGAGAACCCGTTGAACAGCACGCAGTGGATGAACGACCCTGAGACAGGTCCCGTCATGCTCCAGATCTCCAGAATCTTCCAGACACTCAACCGCACGTAAAGCACACCTCATCTCTGGAGCAGCCGGAACCACAGAATAGGGGAAAAGGTCAAACATTTATAAGAGTGTGTGTGTATGAGTGAATGTGTGTATGTGGCATAACTGTTGTTTTAAGTAAAGTCACAGAAAATGAATGTAAAAAATACATTGATGACATTTCACACCATTATACAGAGGAAAATATCTATTTATAACTCCACACAACACTTGTACAAAAACAATATAAGCGGTAACTTAATGATAAATTGCTAACTTCATTAATTAGCCTAGTTTTTTATGTTTTAATAAGATTTGTTTTAATTATATTAAGCACATGCTTTTTTGATATCATTTCTCACACACAAAAAGAAAAAAAAAAGAAAAAACATATCCTAGAAACACTTTTGTATGTTTCTTGTGCTCAAAGATCAAATTACAACAAAATTATACAACACTTCACATGGTACATTGGTCACAACTGAATGTTACTACAGGGAGATAAACAATGCATATTCAGCTATATTTATTATTGTTTTAAAATCTTAACACTTTACGTATTAGGTTGTAAGTTCCTTCCAAAAACATAAACTGAACGTACGGTGGAAGGGAAAGCAAGCACCAGCAATTTAAAAGGCATTCAAGCTTTGTGGTTTCTTTAACAATACAGATGTTTCTGTGATGTTGTGGATGTTACACAATAGCAATTTGCAGTCCCTTACTGACATAGATATGTGATAGATATTGAAATCTAACCTGATCCCTTTGTTCCTCTTATCTATTTCATTCTTCTGATCTATAAACCAACTATTCAGCTGGAAACTGTACAAACGGATGCGACTCAGTTCTGATTCTGTTGGTTTAGAACAAAGATGGTATACATGAGTTGTGGATCTTTAGCTTAGTTTTATCTCAGTAGCTCCTGCATCAGGGGTTTTCCAGTTGAAGTATTACAGTACCGTTTTATCCAATGTCATCATGATCTCACTCACAGCCCTGCGCACGTTTAATGTTAATGGAGGCTGGACTATTTTAGTTTGTACTAACCATAATAAAATGGCTTTTTTCTTTTATGAATCGGTTCTACTACAGTACATCCGTTTCTACAGTATGTGTAAGTCGGGTGTGTTTAATGACAAGTATGAATTATGAGCTTAGTGTGATTGCAGTTCTCTTATGTCACACTTTTTACAGTGCACTTACTACTTTTTGCACAGGAAATTCAGACTGAATTCACAACATTGTGATGTACTCTTTTATTTTAAATTATCTTGAAATTCCCTGGCTTAGGTGAAATTCAGGCATTGGGATTTCTTAAAGAAATGGCTAAGTTTTCAGTCAGAATCAAGATTAAAAATGTTATTTATATGATTCTGTTATGCATCAGATAAATATACTACACAAATGTGGTCATACCAAACATCAATTTTAGATTCATAGATAATTGTGTGAATTAGAGGATGAAATATGTTGTTGTTTTTTTTCTTTTTTCTTTTTTTTTTGGTCAAGCGTGGAGTGTTTTCATTCAATATTTGAATCGTGTTGGTGTGAAGTGTGTGCTCAGGGGTTTCTTAGCCATACCGGGCAATTATCTGCTATAGTAATGCCTACTTTATCAATACAAATAACAGTAGCTTAGTGATTGCATTATCAAAGAACTCTATGAATATATCTGAAAACTTAATCTTTAAATGAAAACTTGCTATCCTTGTGTGATTTATTTATTTTGAGGCCAAATATAGTCAATCATGAAACCATCCCTAGAGAGATTACTGTACTGTATGTCAATACCATTTTAGATAACCTCACCTGGTACACTATGTTCACTTCACTGTCTGAGTGGCTTCTAATGTACTTAAAGATTATGTACTTCAACACACAATAAGATTATGTTCTTCTTTTTTTTTTGGTATTGAAAGAGGTAGCTTATATTGTTTTGGATGACTAGAGAGTAAAGGCTTCTATGCAATTCAATTTCTTTTTTGTTGCCTCAACAGAAAAACAACAGGCTTCAGTATCATGATGCATTTGTAATATATGAGTATTTGATGTGCACTTTCATATCATATATTTTTTAAATTTGAATCAAATGTTGGTTTCATCATGGGTAAGCTCTGTTATGTAGAAAGTGATATATGATTTTAGGATTTTATTTTTGATGGTCATTCATTTACTATTTAGAAATGCTTATATGGTTGAACATATATTTTGGAAACTGAATTGTCAACACCTTGAAGGAATAGTTCACTTACCTAAAAATGAAAATTCTGTCACCATTTACTCACAAAAGAAGGTATTTTGGTAGCCAAACAGTTCTTGGACCCCATTGACTTCCATTGTTTTTTTTTTTTTTTTTCTGCTATGAAAGCCAATGGCATTCTTCAAAATATCTTCTTTTGTGTTCAGCAGTATAAAGAAATTTATACAGATTTGAAACTCGAGGGTGAGTAAATGACAGAATTTTCATTTTTAAGTGAACTATTCCTTTAAAAAGTGTCAGATTTGTTTTCTCCCTCATTTGAAATAAGGTTATCAGGTTACAAAGGTTATGGTGAAATGTCTTGAATGTTTGGTGCTCTTGTGTTACCATTTTACTTTTGTGTCCTTGCTCCGTGTACAATTTCACATAGAGCCCCCACTGTCGGTGAGCTGAAATGTAATTATTCTCAATCCAATTGTTGAAAAGTCTTTCATGACAAATAATTAAAAAAAAGTTTTGAAATCTCTGCTTTTTCTAATTATTATTAATATCCTCTGCATGTTGCAGTCAAGTCAATATACTTCAGAAGTCTGACTCTGAACACAGCAAAACGTCTTTCTTTGCCTGCACCAAAGCCTAATATTTTTCAACCTCCCCCAAAAACAACATTCCCACATAACCTGTTTTACTCAGTTAGGCTTAATCATACTAATTTCAGTGTTCATTTAAGTATTATTTGTTTTTTATATTTTGAATTATAGGCCATTTTCATTTTAGATATTTTAATCGTGAATTTGAGCAATTTTATGTGCTTTTATAATTTTTTACTTTTTCTCTAGATTTCATTTAAGTTTTTCATCTAATATTTCTATACTTTTTACTTCAGCTTTTTACTTCTTTTTACTTTATTTCAATTACAGAAAATGAAAACTAAAAAAAAATATTTTAATAGTTTTAGTTAACAGAATGCTGGTGAAATACTCCTTATACATTAGCGGATGCATGATGGTTACAGACAAATAGTGAGATGTCACTTATGACCCTGTATATATATATATATATATATATATATATATATATATATATATATATATATATATATATATACAGTATATATATATATATATATATATATATATATTAAATAAAATAAAAAACAAGATTAAATAAATAAAAATTTAGATATTTAGATTTAATATTTATAATACCTTAATATGTTCCTGTCTCATAGTCACATTTATCAGAGTTAGGTTGAAAACAGCTAAACCTACATTTTGCAATGATATAAACAAACAAATGTATGTTGTTCCAAACCTGTATGAGTTTCTTTCTTCTGTTGAATTACAATTAAGATATTTTGAAGAATATCAGTAACATAGTATTTTTTTTTCCCTAAGGATGTCAATGGCGACCATCAACTCAACTGTCTGGTTGACATTCTTCAAAATATCTTTGTAGTTCAACAGAAGAAAGTAACAGGTTTGTAACAACATAAGGGTATAAGAGTAAATGAATGATGACAAAATGTTTATTTTTGGGTGAATTAACCCTTTAAATCAGCATTATCAGAGATTATAATACATTATAATACATTCTCTGGTATTATGTTCATGTGTGATTACAAATCGTGGACTGCACATATCTAACGCTGCTTTCACCCGCTTCACAACAGCAGCAGCGACTGCGCACATGTACCGCATCTTTGACCCTCTGCAGTACAGTAGTTAGTTCGCGTGCGCGAGAAATAGACACATCACTCGCGCGCCAACATGATCAGCTGTTCTAGTCTCCTATCAGGAGACTATTTTTAATCATCAGAGTTTGGGCCTGTATTCAAACAACAAAGTAAGTTTTGCAGGCCATGTGATAATAATCAGGCAATGCTTTAAAATGCATACAAGTGTCAAACGTGTGCTTGCATCCAAATCCTCCAAAAAGTCCTGCACACAGACAACTATCAGCAGATTCTTCACAAGTGCAAGCGATCAATCTCAACCAATTGACCGACCCGGGATTAACTGCCTAGACCAACGCCATGAGGACAGAGGAAAGGTAAGAGCTTTATATATTCAGAACAGATAGCTTGTTTACTTTGTAAACAATCTGCACTCCAATCATACAATAGAGTCATATCAACAATATGCATTGCATGCACGAAGCTTTTGCTGTTTCAAAGCAGCACCGACTGAAATGTAAACCTGTTCTGATTTAGAAAAGGTTATGTGATGGAGGAATGTCCTCAGGGAAACGACCCAAACTCTCTCACAATGTGGAGGAGGAGAAAGATAAGGAGTGCATGCTGACCCCCAGCACCTGTAAGGACATATGCACCATGCACGGCATTCTTTCATTATGTTTATTGTAGTGTTTGTTGTTGTCAGCTGATTTGTTTACTGCATTGCACATTTCCCGTTAGAACAGCTTGTTTATGCTGATCTCATAAGATGTAAAAATGTGTTTTCTGGTATGGCATTTACACTAAGCAGGGCTCAACAACAGATTTGAAATGGATCTTTTCACCGACCCACCATTATTTTTTATATAGTTTTTGTTTTAGCCAATTTTTTTATGTCAGAAAGGCTTTACACACACAAACAAAGTTTAATTATTACAGTTGTAATGTTGTAACTATGCTTTTTAAACTACACTTCACTAAACAACACTGTACATAACGTTCGAAAAGGAAATCTTTTGGTTTGTATTGTATGGTATAAAAAACAAGTGCATGATCAGCCTAAGATGCTTGTTTATGCTGATTTCATAACACTAAAAATGTATTTTCTGGCATTCACACACTAAGCAGAGCTCAAGTTATTTTTTACTGACCCGTCTTAAAAAATATTTTTTTTGATGTTTTTTCTCTGTATCTGCTTTTTATCTTTGTATCTACGTTTGTCAGACAGTGTCATGGTTTGTTTAAAAAACAAAACAGTTTTAAATCAGTACATTGAATTCTACAGTTGTAATGTACCTCAATAAAAGCTTTAAAATATAAAAAACCTGTTCTAATTTAGAAGAGGTTACGTGATCGATGAATGTCCTAAACGTGATAGTGTATATGTGCAGGTAAATATACAGTACTTAGGCATGTTAGTATTTTCACCAGATATTTTATATGCCAGTTATTTATATCTTTTGGTGTAATGTGTCGGTTGGAAATATCAGTTTACATTTCCAAACATTCCTTTTTCCATTAATGCTTTCTTATGTGCAATAGATAAGATGGTATCTCCCAGAGCCAGTGTCAGCCATGCCACCCTGACAAGGCTTAAAGATTTCAGCTGCCCAGGGAATTCAGAGATCCGAGTCTCCGATCAGGGCATGGAGATGGAGCCTTCAAACTCTGGAAAAGCTGAGAGATCTGCCATGCAGCAATATGATAATATCACGAAGAACAGGTCATCTGAATTGGTGGAAGAGGTCAAAGAAGAGCCTACTAAGATCAAGCAGGTTTGATTTTATAAGCAATACATGTATGAGTTGCCCGTCGAAAGAGTGTTCTTTGTCTCAGCTTTTATAATTGCAGAGACCATTTTGCAAGATGTAATCAACACTGGTCCAGAAACACTTCCTGTTTCAGTTTGTAACTGTTTTCTTTATTTCACATGCAAAGAAAATATCTTAAAAATGTTTGTTTAACTTTTTGATTCAATTTTATATGTTCTGTTAGTTGTATTTTATCCCAGCTTTTATGTAGTGTTAAAAAACTGAAACAGGAAGTGCTTCTGGACCAGTGTTGTTTACATCTTGCAAAATGGTCATACAAAAGGCTCATCTAATCACATTATAAGAGTAATGAACTGAAGACACAAATGCTTGCCATTCACACATGATGTTTTTCCTCTTTCTGTTTCCAGGAGTTTTCCTTTAGTCAGTTTTCTAAGAATACTGCGATCGGGAAAAGTTCAGAAGAGCCTGGCGTTCCCAACAGGAGAACAAAGACCATATACACTCCTCTAGAAGTACAGTACATGGAGATCAAGAAGCAACATGTGGACACGGTGCTTTGCGTTGAGTGTGGCTATAAGTACAGGTTCTTTGGTGAGGATGCAGAGGTAAGAACTAGAGCAGGCCATCACAATTATCAGACATTGGGTGATGCATTATGATATATATATATATATATATATGTATATGTATTTCCTACTATATGTTACCCTCCATTGAAAGACTATTCCACCAAATATTTCAAGCTATAGAGAGGGGAGAACAATTATTTGAAACACTGCCAATTTTGCTGGTTTTGCCATTTACAAAGCATGTAGAAGTCTTTAATTTGTATCATAAGTAATCTTCAAGTGTCAGTGACAGAATCTAAAACAAAAATCCAGAAATATTTGATCACCTGCCAACCAGTAAGAATTCCCGGCTCTCACAGACCCGTTTATTTCTAAGCCCTTCTGTTCTCCACTCATCATGACCTGTATTAATTGCACCAGTTTGAACCCGTTACCTGTATAAAAGACGCCTGTCCACACACTCAATCAAACAGTCTCCAACCTTTCTATAATGGCCAAAACCTGAGAGCTGTGTAATAGTGTTGTCACAATACCAAAATTATTGTTTCGATACCGATATCAAGTCAAGAATTGCGATTTGGATACTTTTCCTGAAAAGGCGTTTCACATGCACCACCTTTGCGTAGGTCTGTGCTCTTTAAATGCTGAAATAACCTAATATAAATCAATCACTGACAAACAAGCAAATGCTCTGATTATAATCATTTAGCCTATAGATCATTTTAGCTGATGTTTTGTATGCTTTATTTTTGCAGCTTGCAAATTATTAATGCTATCTATGAAAGTTGGGGGGAAAGTTGTACACCTTATACATAAATAAATAAAACATTTCCAGTTAACTAGCAGAGCATTCATTTCTAAGAGACTTTATTCATTAATTAAGAGATCTGGCGCTAAAATCTTTTGTTTTTAAATCTAGTGGAACGCTCTTTTTCGCTAATATCAGTTGCATGTATACAGGTATACAGGCAACATGTCTTTTGCGGCTTGCGCAGTCGCGCACCATCGTCTCTCAATGCTCACTTCAATCTATCGCAGTTGCGGAGACTATTCTGCACAGTTTGACCAGCGGGGAGCGTCTGCACACCAGTCCGCCGGATTGTGTTGCTAAGAACTTGTATATGTATAACTATCAGACTGACCCTCGCGGCCTCAGAACACTAGCCATCTCGCTGTAGTGTTTGTCTCATGACAGCTACAGCTTCTTTGCTGCATGCATGAGGAGAAAAAACACAAACGTCCATGGGGAGGCACTGTAAGCGTGCTTTGCACACGCCAACATGAAATACGTCTCTTCCAAATCTGGAACGCTTGGTCATTCATAAAAGTATCGATACTAATAAATTTAGGTATCATGAGGTTTTTAATTTCTGTGAATCGCAATACTTTTGAAGTACCGGTCCACTGTGCAACACTACTGTGTAAGGACATCTGGGATAAAATTGTAGACCTGCTCAAGGCTGGGATGGGCTACAGGACAATAGGCAAGCAGCTTGGTGAGAA